GAAAACTAACAAAATAAAAATAAAAAAATTAAAATGATCCTTTAGAATAACTATCTCCTTCTTCTTGTTGTTTTTCTTTATCAATAAATAATTTTAAGCTTTAAGTTTCTTCATTCTTAAGAAAGTTTATGTTTTCAAGTTTGGTTAATAATTTTTGCCCATAATAACCAAAAAACATTGTTGCTAAGGGCGTTGCTAAGGGAACAAACTAACTAATTTCATTATAGGAAGTAAATTTTTTTAAAAATCCAATTAAAAAAGATGTGTAAAAGTTTATATTTTCTGAAAGAGCGAAAATTTCTCTTTTAAACTACACCAATAACAAAAATTTGATTTTTTGCATATTTTTTACTAGACGACCACCTATACCAATAGCGAATAATAATTTGTTAAACTTCGTTACCAAATATTCTTTAAGGTGGTACCCCAAGAAATATAAAAAAATTTCATTGGAACTATAATAAAATTTTATCTTTCAAACATAAATACATCATTAAAAAAATTTTTTAAATATTTTAAAACATGAATTTTTTTGCCTCGATTGCCCAATTAAAAAGTGAAAATAAGCAAAGTCATGTGAAATGATTACTCAATATTTACCAGTCATTTTAACATGAGATTTGAAACATATTATAAACCTCATGCCAAAAATCATTTGAGAGAAAATAAATGAGAATAAAAGATTATTTAAAAAATTTAACAATATCGGCGAGACAAGCAAGATTAATATAACAAAATTTCAAGAACTAAATGCATCTCAGATGAATTTTTTTACTAAGAAGAAAAAAATATTAAAGTTTCAACTCTTTTGCATAATTATTTATAAAGAAATTGTTTCGCAAACTTTTTACAAATGTTTTGTTCACATATCGGTTGCTATAACGTTGTTACGTGGAAAAAATATTGATTACCAAATTATTAAAACCTTATAACTTATAAAAATTATAACTTTAAATTAAAAGTTTTTTTAATCTGTAAACAAAAGAATAGTTAGCCAAAATTATTAAACTTTTTTTTTTTTCAAAATTTGCTTTTATTTCTTGGGGCAACTTATTCATCTTAGAATTTTGATTGGCGAAGTTTATTATAATAGAACAGAAAAAACCTTACGAAATCGTTACGACGCTACCGCACACTACTTTTTTATTTTTTGTTAATAACATATATTTTTTTCATATCCATCTTACAGCAGAACACTTCGGAGGAGCATTTTACCAGGAAGTTTACGCTTCCTTTTCTTACCAATGTTGCTTGTTAGGCTCGAACCACAATCTTTTTTTATAACCATAACTTCTACCATTGTGCCACGGCTTATATATATATATATATATATATATATATATATATATATATATATATATATATATATATATATATATATATATATATATATATATATATATATATATATATATATATATATATATATATATATATATATATATATATATTTATTTATTTATTTATTTTATTTATAAATATTGCTCTATTATTTAATAGTATTGAGCACTCTTAAACGCACAAGAGTATTTGTATTATTATTATTATACCATAATAATACATTTTCTATTTTGTATAAATTTACTCCTACAAGTTGAGCACTCTTCTCAAGTCGTCAACAAAAATGGAAAAAATAAACTTGAAATATTCAATCAAAAATATACCGATTCCATCTGAAAAAGAATATAAATTAAAACTACTAAACAAAACAGAAATGCTCGTGAAGAAAATGAGATGGAAGGCGTTCTTTTTCATAAATAACTACCCAAGAAATGATTCAAATTATACAGACTACGGAATCAAATCATCAAAATGCCCACCACAAATAAATGAAATGCATTCTTTCGAAAAAGACCTTATAAACTTAGTTAAATCAATAAAATTTTGCAACGTAAACTGTAAGTTTCAAAATAATATGCAAAAAGACTTAAAATCCATACGTACGTCGCATAAAACATTAATAAAGGCAGACAAAACATCTAATTTATATAATATGAATATAATAAAATGAATACAACAAACTGTTAACAAACGCAATTACTTCTACCTACAAAAAGTCGATGCCAGAATTAAAAGATCAAATAATTAAGGAAGGAAAAAACCTTTTAATCCACCATGAAGTGTATAACAATATTGAGAAAAACGGATCGTCCGGCTGTTTTCTTACATTAAAAGACCATAAGGATAATTTTATTAACAACCCTTCAGTTCGCCTTTTAAACTCTTCGAAAAACGAGGTAGGAAGAATTAGTAAAGTTATTTTATCTAAAATTATTCACGAATTAAAAAATAAACTACAGTTGAATCAATGGCAAAGCACCCATTTTGTTATTGATTGGTTTAAAAAAATCAAAAAACCTTTGCAAATTTCTTATTTTTGATATAAATGATTTTTACCCATCTATTAGTGAAAACATTCTTACCAACGCAATCAGTTTCGCCGAACAACATGTTATTATAAAAAATGACGATAAAAAAATAATATATCATGCAAGAAAATCTTTAATTTTTAATAACGACGAAGCTTGGATAAAGAAAAGAGGCGGATTATTTGATGTCACAATGGGAGCATTTGATGGAGCTGAAGTTTGTGAACTAGTTGGTATTTTTATGTTGTTTCAGCTCTCTCAACATTACGATAAAAATAATTTTGGCTTGTATCGTGACGACGGGCTTGCTATTTTCGAAAACAAAAGCGGCCAGCAAATGGAAAAAATCAAAAAGCATTTTACACATATTTTTAAAAGTAACAATCTACTTATCTCCATCCAATGTAATACTAAAATTGTCAATTTTCTTGATGTAACATTGAACCTGATAGACAGTTCTTATCAACCGTATTGTAAATCTAATAACCAACTTATGTATGTTCATTCAGAGTCAAACCATCCACCTAATATAATAAAAGAAATCCCTCGCACTATTGAGTTAAGATTATCGAATATGGCAGTAAATGAAACTGTGTTCAATAACTCAATTATTGCGTATGAAGAGGCTTTACGTAAATCAGGATACAATTCAAAACTCACCTACCAACCGCAAATAAACAAAAATCAAAAAAGACATCGCAAACGTAAAATTATATGATACAACCCCCCGTTTAGCAAAAATGTTGAAACTAAAATTGGACATCGCTTTTTAGCTTTAGTTGACCAACACTTTTCAGTAGGACACAGGCTTCATAAAATTTTTAATCGAAACTTTGTTAAAGTAAGCTATAGTTGCATGCCTAATGTCAAGTCTTTAATAAATACACATAATAACAAAATTTTACATAGCGATAAAAATAAAACATCAAAAAAATGTAACTGCATACACAAAAATATTTGTCCGTTAAATAACCAATGCCTTTTTAGCAATATCGTATACCAAGCCACTGTAAGTTCTGGTGATCCTCAATGCAAAGATAAAGTTTATTTCGGTATAAGTGAAACCACATTTAAATTAAGATATGCCAACCATCTTAAATCTTTCAATGCACCCAAATATAAAAATGACACTGAACTTTACTAAGAAATATGGGAGCTAAAATCGAAACATATAAATCCTGTGATTACATGGAAGATAATAGCACAATGTAAGCCCTACAATCAAGCATCAAAAGTTTGTAATCTTTGTCTCCGCGAGAAGTTTCACATATTATCATATAAAGGAGAAAACTTAATAAAAGATATGAAATAATATCAAAGTGCTGGCATTCGAAAAAATTTTTACTATCCTTATTTGATACCGGGGACTAAAACCTTTGACGTCTTTTAGTTTTGTTTTGTTTTGTTTGGTAACGTCAGAACTCGTTCCACCGTAATTTTAATTTGTAATTTTTAAACGGTTTTTAAGTGACGAAATACACAATGGCTGATGATTGCCGAAAGGCATGAAACTCAGAGTTCCATCAAAATAATATAAATAAATAAATATCGCTCTATTATTTAATAGTATTGAGCACTCTTAAACGCACAAGAGTATTTGTATTATTATTATTATACCATAATAATACATTTTCTATTTTGTATATATATATATATATATATATATATATATATATATATATATATATATATATATATATATATATATATATATATATATATATACACATAACATAAGAAACAATTACATAAGTTATTATTTTATATTTTAAAATATTATTAATTTCTCGCTACATTTTTTTCAAAAAACGTGTAAAAAAGAAAAATTCAAGTTTGTTGTAGAAATGTTGTGCAATTTTGTATTACTAAAAATATTGCAGAAATCATTTTTTTAATTTCCGCCTCAAAACCGACATTTTTTAACTATTTCAAACATTTCTTTAACTATTTCAAACCAAGATATAATTAGAATCAAAATAACTTTTCTTTTTTATATTTGCGATAATGCGCCTTTTACAATTTTAAATCGATTCTTTTACGTACTCGCTATATGAACCCCTAGAATCATGCGTCAATTATAAGTAAATAACAAAAACGTTTGTTAAAAATTTTTACTGCTACAGTTTTAACTCTTTTTTCGGTTTCTAAAACTAACGTTATAAATAACTATTACTATGTTTTATTATTTGATATATATATATATATATATATATATATATATATATATATATATATATATATATATATATATATATATATATATATATATATATTATTGCTATTTCTTTTTCCATTAGAATCAAAAAGTTAAAATAAAAATCAAAGTAAACTTTTACCGAATTCAGAAACGGTGGATCGTGGATCAACATTTTGGAATTACAAAATTTGTAAATATTTTTACGATTTAACATGAAAATTTAACATAAAAAGCAAACTCTCGATGAGCTTAAAGCACCGCCTTTTCCGTGTTCTTCTCAATGATTTTTAACTAGATTTTTATGTTTAGTTTCTACGAAGTTATATTAAATAATATATGAAACACACATTTGCTTGTAATGACATTATTTATACAGCGGTGTTTGCAAGTTTTTTTAATTGTGGGCACAAATTTATGTCAAAGAAACAAAAAAATACATAAAATTGACAATATAAATCGCATAAAATTACAAATTGCACAACGTTTTAATATTCCTTCAAAAATTCTATATTGGTTGCGCTTTCATTGAGGTTTTTTGTCCACTAAGATTGACGTCATCGAATTTTTGTCTGAGGACTTCAAGATTCTATAAAAACAAAATAAAAACAAAATAAAAACGGCAACAATTAACAATAAACTTAAATGTTTAATTAAAATTTTAAAGTGAAAGTTCTATTGAAACACTTTTTTAGTCAAGTATTTTTCTTAATCTAAAACTCTGTTGTTTATTAATGAATTCTTTTCACACAGATTTGAATAAGTTTAAATAAACCTGAAACAAATGTCTTGAAAACTTCCGTTGATATTTTCGTACGGATAGTATACGTGTAATCGCATTTAAATATTAATTCAATAACCCTGTTCAAATTATGTTCAATTTTACATTAAGTAAAATTACAAAAAATGATAAGACGCTATCTTCTTTTGTATTTTTTAACTAAAAATTCAAATTTTATAAAAATTTTATTATAATAACAAAGAGTTTTCGTAATGTGTCCAATAATAGATTTTATTTACGTAGATGGAGTCTTTAAAAAATATCTGAAAGATTGTTCTTTATCTAAGTCTTTGATTGCTTTTGTGAAATTCAAATTCAATTTTTTCTTAAAATAAATTTCTAGTTATACTGTTGAGCAGCAATTTTATGTTTTTTTAATAAACTTTTTCACTACATTCTACTTTTTTCTACATCTTCCAGAATCATACTCTTTTTTTACAAGGATAAAAAAACATTTACACGTTGCCATAGTTGATTCATTAAAATTTTATATCAAATATGAACTAGAGGTTACATAAACCAGAAGTTAACTGTGTTTTTTAAAACTAAAGCTCAAGTTAATAATAAACTTAATTTATAATTTTTTATAAAGCAATAATAATAATAATAACAATGGTACCAACAACAACAACAGTACTATACAAATAATAGAATTACATACATCTTATAGCAGATTTATAAAATACGTTTTTAATATGCGTTTGCTCTCTCTCTCTCTCTCTCTCTCTCTCTCTCTCTCTCTCTCTCTCTCTCTCTCTCTCTCTCTCTATATATATATATATATATATATATATATATATATATATATATATATATATATATATATATATATATATATATATATATATATATATATATATATATATATATATATATATATATATATATATTGAATGTAGACATCATGTAAATTATTATTTTATAAACATCAATAAATACGATTTTTTCTCAATACTAAATTTATTTTTTATCTTTTAAAGAAATTTTCGCTGGATTGTTGTGACCAGCGTCTTCAGCTTAAAAGATTTTTGTTTGTTTTTGTTTATATGTTATTTTTAAACGGCAATTCTATTATACGTCAATGGGATGGTTTTGTCTTTTTCTGACGTAAGTGCGTTAGAAACGGTGTCCAGAATTTTATTAACACATATTGTCCCTCATCTAAATTGATACAATTTTGTTGAGGGGCACATTTGTGGTACTGTATTTCAAGCGCATCACGAACTTTCCTATCAAACTTTTTGTTATTGACTTTTAGAGTTCGGCAACTGTCCCAGTTAATTTGTTGTGCACAATGTTTCATGTGTGTGGCTAATGCTGATCGTTCTGTTTTATTTCCTATTGTACTGTTTTTGTGTTGTTGCATGCGTGTTTTTATTTCCGTTTTTGTTTCACCTTTGTGTCCACAAAATTCTGGACACCATTTCTAACGTACTTACGTCAGAAAAAGACGAAAATATTGAGAGAAAATCGTATTTATTGATGTTTATAAAATAATAATAATAATAATAATAATATATATATATATATATATATATATATATATATATATATATATATATATATATATATATATATACATATATATATATATATACACACACATATATATATGCATATATATATATATGCATATATATATATATGCATATATATATACAAATATTTTCAAGCTCAAGCCCCATAAACATCACACGGGTCCCTATAATTATCAAAAAAAGTTTCTTTATTTGGGTCTTTAAAGAATCGTATATATATATATATATATATATATATATATATATATATATATATATATATACACATATATATATATATATATATATATATATATATATATATATATATATATATATATATATATATATATATATATATATATATATATATATATATATATATATATATATATATATATATATATATATATATAGAATGAAAATGCGTATTAAAAACGTATTTTATAATGTAAGTGTGTGGCCAACTTTTTTTTTAAATGTCTGCTCTTAACCTGTGATAATAAAATGTGTTCGAGACAAAAAAATAATACTGGAATTGAAAAAATTTGACAAAAAAAATATTTTCAACCTCGAGCCTTATAAACATCCGACGGGTTCCTATAATTATCAAAAAACAAAAAATTTCTTTAAAAGTTTATCATGTCTTTAAAGAATCGAAATTTTATAAAAATTTTAAAAACCATCATCATTTAAAAAAAAAGAATTATTATCTAGGTTTCACTGTCTAGAAAATGAAATTTATTAAATAAAAATGAAAAATATGCTTTTTAACATTTATTGTTATTAATATTAACTATATTTAATTACAATCAAACAGTAACTTTTTAATAACTTCTTTAAAATTCGCTTCAATTGGACTTCTTTAATGTTACGCAAGTATAAAAAAAATGGTGTCCAGAATTGCGTTTTTATATATTGACCATCATCTAAATTTATACCTTCGTTCTTATCTAAATAATCTCCGTTCTTAGGTCCACATTTATAAACTGAACTTTAATTGATTCTCAAATTTTTCTTTTAAATTTTTATAGATTTTATTCTCAACGCTTTTACTTGCTCCCATTTTGTATTGCGTGGGCATTTGTTTAATGATGCCCAATTGCATATTGTGCCCATTTTTCCTCAAATACCTTATTTTGGTGTTGTTTTGTTCTAGTTGCTTTTTTCATTTTTGTTTCAATGATGTATTTTTGTTCACACTCGCATTCTATTAGGTATACTGCGGGATAGCTATTTGACGGTAGATTTGTTTTGTTGCGTGACGTTACCAAAGATTTAAGATTTGCACTAGATTCAAAGACCATCTTGTAACGTGCTTTTCTAAAGATTTTTCAAAGTCTTGGTGATAATATTGGGATTTACGGTAGTGATATAGTTGGCATGGTTGCTTCATTGTTAGATATGACTATTTCGTCGTTTGTTTTATAGCAATATTTGCAAGGTTATGTATTTTTTTGTTCTTGTATCCATTATCAAAACATCTATTAGGAAATTGATTTTATTTATTCAAAAAATTCTCAGAGCAAATTTATATTCCCATTCACTTAAATATTCCTTCTAAGATTTTTGGATCGTGGTTTGAATTGGCTTAAACTGAATATTTGTTATATTATTCTTTTTCGATGTATGTTTTCATCTTCCACTTCAATTGAGTATTTAATAACATGATGTTGATTATTTGATATTTGATGAAATGGGATGACATCTTTATTTTTTAATCTTGCGTGGCTACATAGGTCTACATAGGTCAAAAATGATTTTATTTCTAGCGGTGAATTAAAATGAAGCGCCATGTCAATTCCGCAAGTATTACCATGAGTGAAAGTCCTATTGGACCTGGATGTAAGCGCATAAATTTTTTCATTCCATAAAAAATAATATTTATATAAACACCGTTCTATTAGTGATTTTATATCTGAAATGCATAGCTTTGTTAGTTTATTTAAACTTGGGAAGAGCTCTAATATATCAAGAAGAATTTCTCCTAGAGGAATCAATGGATATAATTTGACAAGGTCGTAAAACACCTTCATTATTCATCTTTGATAAATTCTAAAGTTTAGCTGTTTTTACAAAAGTTGATGAAATCTTTGACTTTGTTATGTTTTTATTTAATATAGGTTGATATATATTTACTAATTATTGTGATATTCCATAACTTGATGTTCTGATGGTTGAAACTATTAATTGCATAGGGTATGATTTTTCTGGTTTGTACACTTTAATTACATCATGCATAGTTGATGGTATGGAAATAGCTATTCCGGAGTATACCTAATAGAATGTGTGTAAACAAAAATACATTGACGAAACAAAAATGAAAATAGCAACAAGAACAAAACAACACCAAAAAAACGTATTTGAAGAAAAAATGGAAACAATCTGCAATTGGGCATCATAAAAACAAATGTCCATATAAAATAAAAGCAAGTATAAACATTGAAAATAAAACCTAAAATTTAAAAGAAAAGTTTGAGAATCAATGGAAATTTAGTTTAACAAATGCGGACCTAAGAATGGAGGTATGAATTAAGATGATGGTCAACATGTGTGTATATATATGTATGTATATATATATATATGTATGTATATATATATATATATATATATATATATATATATATATATATATATATATATATATATATATATATATATATATATATATATATATATATACTTATATATATATATATATATATATATATATATATATATATATATATATATATATATACATATATATATATATATATATATATATATATATATATATATATATATATATATATATATATATATATATATATATATATATATATATATATATACTTAGTCCCTAGTAAAGATCCACTTAAAAAATATGTTCTTATAAAGTTTATAAATGTTAAAATGTCTAATAGCAAATTTTGCAGTCTTTCTAGATATTTTTTTATTCATTTAATAACTCTCATAAACGTTAAATTAGATTCAGAAGTCTCATAAACGTTAAATTAGATTCAGAGATTACAATAAAAAAACTTGGATTTTACTAATTCTTAACCAACTGTTCATCAATATTAGTAATATTCATGCACAAATATGAAGTTTGTGATAAGTCTTAGTAGCTGTACTGGTGGTAATAAAAAAATTTATTAACCACTATGTCAGTGCATTTCCTTACATATAAGAACAACTTAAAGTATGTTGAAATTATTTATCTACCTAAAAAATTTTGACATTTAGCTTTCAATCAGCTTGACAAAAATTAAAACTTAAACAAGAAAAATCCACTTATGTAACATCAGAACCCGAAAAAGATGTAGGTATATATTCATCAGTGAATCAACTATTCATCTTTAAAATCAGTTGAGCTGCTTGGAAGAAACCAATTGAAACTTTATCAGAGGTAATAGAAGTCAGAGAGAAATTCTTTCATAATAGAAGTCAGAGAAAAATCCTATCATAATAGAAGTCAGAGAAAAATCCATTCAGAATAGAAGTCAGAGAAAAATTCTTTCATAATAGAAGTCAGAGAAAAATTCTTTCATAATAGAAGTCAGAGAAAAGTTCAAAAAAAAAAAGAAAAATAAAACAAAATTAAACATCGGTGAAAAGTTATTTGATTTGTTTCTTTGTAGATTGAATAAATGGCTATGTAAATTATTATTAGACTTTTAAACATGTTTGTTAACTTTAAAAAAAAAACGTTTATTAAAGAACATGTTTTTTAACTTTAAAAGAACATGCTTATTAACTTTGAAAGAATGTGTTCATTAACTTTGAAAAAACGTGTTTATAAACTTTGAAAGAACGTGTTTATTGACTTTGAAAGAATGTGTTTATTAACTTAAAAAGAACATGTTTATCAACTATAATGTACAGAATAATAATAAAGAAGTCTCTTATCAATCTCAAAAAATAAGCATGACACTGACATAGTGGTGAATACTTTTAACCATTACATGTTATATAATAGATGGTTAATTACTTAGTACAACTCTCTAGCAGTAATATTATTTTTAAACAATTAACTTTAGATTTTTAAACAATTACCTTTCATAATCTGAAAAAGGTAGCATGGCATCTTTGCAGGATTCGGTATATGCAAACTTGTAGAGTACCTACAAAAATAAAACTTGTAGACTATCTAAGAAAATAAAGCTTTAAAACTTTGTTAAGCTTCATTTAGCACATTGCTGATGTATACTGTTTGTTTAAAAAAAGGTGTGACAATGCCTTACTCAAACGGCTGACAAGTAGGCATAGCATCTTTGCAAGTTGCTGACCATGGATGTATAATATAAAAACTACCGCAAAAAATAGTTAAAAAATAGAATAAGGACTTTTGATTTATTAATAAATATTACAACATGTCCTATAGATAATACAACATGACTTTTAATGTATTAGATAAATATTACAACCAATCTGACCAATCTAGTATAAAGTGGGTGAATTTTTAGAAACGGGTCGAAACTTTAATATCATTAGTGTCAAGTACTTAATACAAAAAATGAGGGGGGGGGGGGAAGAGAATAAATGACATATCCTAAAAAACTGGTTTCTCCAGATCTAATAAATGTAAAAAGTGATGAATTTTCCAGACATCCAAACAAAATTTTTTAGACGCCCAAGTAAGATTACCTAGAAAAAATAAAAAAAAAATTTCATTTTTTTCTGGGTAATCTTGTTTGGTTTGTTTATTTCTTTTATATACAACTTTAATATATCATCAGCCTATAATAAAAACATAAGTAAATCGTTTTTACAGAAGAAACATAAAATCATTTAATTCTGGTGTCCCAAATAACAAGGTTTTTCTCAAAATCACTGACACAAAAAACTATGCTTCAGACCCGAGGAGGAACATTTATATGAAAGCTACGCCATGCTTTATAAAACAAAATAACTATAAAAATTTTTACAATTTAGCTACAATGTAAACAACAAACATTTTATTAAAATAGAAGTTTATAAATTTTAGTTATTCTTAAAAAAATATAATAAAGAAATAGATAAAGAAATAGAGGAGAAATTAGTAAATATAAAGCAGTAAATGTATTATTAATTCACTTTAGAAGAAAGAATAAAGTAGATAAAATAGTAAATGTATCACTTTGAAAATTCTAATACTATTTAAGCCAATTTAAAAGATACTAAAATTCTAATGACTTTAAAATTTTAATGACAATCATAATTTACAAGTAAGAACTAATTTAAAATAATAATTATGCACTTTTTTACATCAAAGTTAACCAACTTTCACTTTAACTTGGCATTTTTTCATTTTAACTTGGTGATTTTTACTTTAACATAGCATTTTTTAATTTTAATTTGGCACTTCTCACCTTGGCATTTAATTTGGCATTTTATTATTTGTATTTGACCAATTTTGATTTTAATTTGGCAAAAAAATTAAAATGCAAGGTTTTAGATTAGTGGGCCAAATTAAAATGAAAATTGACCAAATTAAAATTTAAAAATGCCAAATTAAAGTGAAATAAATTTGAAAACTTAAATTGGGTATCTTAAATGGGCTAAATTAAAGTGGCCAAATTAAATGCAAAAAAATGTAGTAAAACTTTTGAAAAGTTTTACTACATCTTTTTGCTAAAGAAATAATTTGAAAAACAAAAACAAAAAAAAAAAACAAAAAATTTTCATATTTGAAATATTTTTTTTTCTTTAAAAATATTTGAAATATTTCATCAAGGAAAATTTTTCATCTTTTCTAAGAAGGAAATTTTTCATCTTTTCTAAGCTGACAAAATAAAAAAAAAAAAAAAATTCTATATTATTTTATTAATATTCTTGAAATCCTTTTCTTAAAATCTGAATAATCAAAAAAATAGTATTTAGTTGACAAAATGGTTTCTATAAATTTTTGAAAGTAATTTAATAATACTAAAACAATTTTAAAATAAACCTACCAGGAAAACAAGGCAATGTAAAATAATGGTGTAAAAAAATACCAAAGTTCGAGCAACTTTGTTTGACAAAATAAATCGAGTCTAAAAAAAAGTTTTTAAAGCAGTTTCATATAGATTGTATAAAAAATTAAAAAAAATTTTAGAAAATTTTTATTTTCTATACAAAAACCTGAAAACATTGAAAAAAACTTTTTTTTTTAAACTTTTGTAATTTTTTTTTTTAATGTCTATAATATACAAAGAATTAATCAATTTACATCAATAAATTTAAAAATATTAAAGATTTTATCTTTGTTAATAATTCAAAATAATGATGGAAAAATGTAATAAGATAAGATAATTTGATTATATATTCCTCACCACCATCCACTCACAAATTGAGAGTCAAGCAATATAATTGACCACTGCTATATATTGTTACAACTGCTATGTATTGCTTGAGAGCCAAGCAATATATAGCAGTTCTAAAATAGCGTTTTGTAGCAGTTATAACATAGTGGTTTGTAGCAGTTGTAACATAGTGGTTAGAGCATTTGCTTTAGAATCAAGAGGTTCAATGCCTATTATGGCCATATATGTAACATTGGTAAGAAAGAAAACATTAACTTCTTTGTTAAATGTTCTATTTAAAGACTGTTTGGTCTTCTTGAAGCATTTTAACAAACAAACAAAAAAGAATTTATTTAAATCATAAGATTTAAACAATCCGATTAAAAAAAGCTTACAACATATTGAAATAAGCTGCTAATTGAAACTTTTTTATGATTGATTTAAACAAAAAAATATGGCCAAAATGACCAACTAAAAACAACTTAGTAACGAGTGATTGCAAATTTGCCATCATTTTCAAAACTAGTTTTTTAGTTTTTTGCTCATATTATACTAATTGATTTTTATTTGATGTTTAATAAAATTGTTTTTGATATGTAAAATTAAATCTTTGATGAACATAAAACAACCTTAGGATCAATTTTAATTTAATAATAAAAAATAATGCAATAGATAATGCAAACAATGCAGATTTTTTGCTCCCTTACAAGACTTTTTTTCCCTATCATTTGATTGACTCATTTTGTCTTGTGAACAAATGTGATGGAGTATATAAAAAGATGTTATTTACAAACAGTAATAAAAAACAGTTATAACAGCTAAAATACATCTGTTATAGTAACAAATTTTTTAAACTTAGATTGTTTTTTTTTATTAAGTGTTACAAAAATAATCTGCAATAAAAAATAACAAATAAATATAACCATGTTTAGTGTAATCTTTTCTGGAGTTGAGAGGTTTGAATATCGTTGTAATTTCTCCTATCATTTAATAAAAAATGAAAATTTATAAAAACAATTAAAAAAAATAATTTTATAAATTTCAAACCACAAAGAATAAAAGTAATATAAATAAAAGGAAATGAAGAAAGAAAACTTATACATTAAATAAAAATAAGTAAACTATATTTGTAAAATAAGGAAGATTCTCTGTTGTATTGTGTTATTGTTTGTTGTTATTATTCTTTTCTTTTTTCTTTTTTTTTTTTTTTTTTTGCATTCTGTGTTTTTTTTTTTATAGTTTGTGTATATATATCGTATATATTATACAAAATGATATTTATTTTAATACTATTTTATCATGTGATATGTTTTTAATATTCTTTTTTTCTTACTTTCTGCCTTTCATTTCAGTACTGCTCATTCATTATAAGCACTTTATACCTTTTGTTGCTTTTTTTGTGTTGTGTTTTTGTTTGTTACGTGTTTTTTTGTATCTGATGACAAGGTTTTATAACGGTCATAGTATTATTGCTTGATTAAAATTGTTATTACTATAATTGTCTGTTATAATTGCTATTTTTATTATAACTGTTATTAATATTATTTTCTATTGTATTACTGTTATTGTTATGTAAGCTCTATCATTGTTATTACATATTATTATCACATATTATTTAAACTGTATTATTAAGATTATTATGTGTATTTTATAATTTCATCATTTTTTTTTTAAAATTATGTTAACTTATGTTTTGTATAATTTAATAATATTGTTGTTGTTGATTTTATTTTTTTATTTATTTCATTTAGGTGTCACTCTGACTAGTTTTTAACTATATGAGTGACACCTAACCTGATTTGTATTTAATTTACAATTACAAATACATGATTTTATATTTGGATTACAATTACAATTTTAATTAGAATTACTGTTGTAAGAAAACAGTTATAACATGTCATGTTTGCTGTGCTGCTTTATTTAATGTCAAAGTCATTGATATTAGAAAACAGTCAGTATGAATTCTTGTTACATTTTATAAATATCAAAGTCTCAAATTTGTGGGCCTTAAGTCTGGTTCTTTCTGGACGATATATCTTACCCGCGATACTGAAAACTCTTTCTACTGGAGCAGATGATACTGGAATAGATAGCAGAGCACTTGCTGCTCAAGCTGCAAATGGAAACAAATCCTTATTTGAATTCCACCATACAAGAAGGTCAGATTCATACTCCTGTAATGGAGCCTTCACATAATCATTCAGCTCGTGTCTAAGTTTTAGCAATAAGTCTTCTTCCTGTATCTCTTGTTCTTGTTGACCTGAACTTTCCATAAAACTAAAGAGATTAACTCTCAGTTTCTTATTGCTTGGTTCCTCTTGTGACCCTTGATCAGGAACTTGTACAGGTGCAGGTGATAGTACAAGTACAGACGGAGACTGCCAAGTCAAGCTAATTACATTTACAGTGCAGAATTTTTGCATTTCTACAACTACGGTATTTTTGCAGTCTTCTACTTCATTTCGCATGCACCCTAACATTAACCCTGAATCGAAGATCCAGTAATGCTCCTATTATGTATAAGGCATTGGTCTCATATTTATGGAGACGAGCATTGATAGATAAAAAAAGATCAGTGATCAGTTGCTTACAATAAACAGAATGAATTGAGTCTAGTTTAAAAAGTAAACCGTGTATACTAGGAAAAACATTGGACATTGTTACTGTCTTCACTCTGAACACAGTTGGTCGCTTCTTCAATGGCTGCATTACTTTAACGTATTCTTTCAGTAATATGTGCTTGAGGGTGGTCAATGTTCTGCTTGTCACAGGTCCCAGAACTCTAACTGCTTCTTTCAGTTTATCTTCTGGCACTTTCAAAACTGACCGCACCATTTTTAATTAAGAATTCCACCTGGTTACATTAGCTGATCTGAGATTGTAATCCATGTCGTGTAGAATTTCACTGGAAACTGTAGACTTGCGAAAAGAATTTACCATTGATGCAACCTTGCCAATAGCATTTTCAACTTGCCTACAATTTTTCATACCGTCTTTGATAAACAATTGTAGTGTATGAGTGAAGCAGACAAGCCTAATTGGTATGCAGCTCACTAACTCTTCTGCAGTGTCTTCATCGATTGCTTCTGCATCTGCATCAAATGATCCATCTGCATCAAATGATCCATCAATGTCATTATCATCAGCAGGACCAATTAAATTAGTTGATTCACTTTCTTGCTGCTGCTGCATAAACTGTGGCAGTATCACTTCAAAAGCTTTTGTCATGTTTGATGCACTGTCGCTAACAACATGAGTAGAATCAATTTCATAATATTCGAAAATTAAAGCTGTATCTGACTTTTATTCATTATAGCATGTAATTTTATTCATGTAAACAGGAAAGGGATTTATTTAATATAAATTAAACAAATTCATGAAAAATAAACGTAATTGAAATATTTCAATTATACCAAGACAATTACAATTACAATTACATGTAATTGGTTTTTGAAATAAACCAATTATAATTACAATTACTTTATAAATTGTAATTAATTACAATTACAATTGTAATTGACCCATGTCTGATATATATAGGGGAAGTGGAGGCATAACCGCATATGGAGGCACCCGTTTTTTAACATTTCTCTTTGAAAAATATTATCTCATATGACAAAAAACACCACGCATTAGTAAAACAGTTTTCTTCATTTTCGCTTATGTCAAAAAGAGTGCCTGTTATGTTTCTGAAAAGTTGTGCATAATAATGTTTATTTTGATTAAAATATTATATTTACATCATATTTTTAAAGAACTTTTTTTTGAGGATAAAGCAATATTTGATTTTAGTGTTAAAGATATGTGTTACCAGCACTATTTCATCAAGTAAAAACCATTTTTGATATCAACATAATCTAATAAGCAAGCTATGAAACTGTATTCTTTCTAAAAACTGTCCTCTGGGGCAGAACCGCATAGACGCACAGGAGGCATAACCGCATACTTATAATATTTATTAAGTAATTACAAATAACAACAATTACAATCATCACACTTGAATGTGTTCATGTAAAAACTTGAATAGTTTTGCTTTGAGATGATAGAAAAGTTGTTAAAGATGTTAGAAAAGTTTTATTTTGAGAAAAAGATGTGAGAAAAGTTTTGTTAAAAAAGTTTGTTTTTTGTTAAAAAAGTTTTGTATTTTTTATTTAATTTTTTAAATGAGTTTTTGAATAAAAATAAAACTAAGAGTATATCAAATGAGAAAACTGAGACTGTAAGTACAAAGAATGCCTACACAGTATGCAAACGTGCAACAAATCAGCAAATAATCTGAGCTATGACAATTGTTAAGAAAATGTACCTAGAAAAGTGTACCCCAAACGATTTTTGTGAGGGTGTGGTTGTGCCTCACAATGGGGGCAAAACCGTTTTTTTTTCATTAAGTGTAATTTTTGAGTAATAACATTTTCAAAATCTGTTCAATTTTTTTTCTTAAATGCATCAATTTAAAGCTTAATGATGTGGTTATTGAAATAAACTGCTAAAAAAACACAAAATGGGCCCTGTGAATCAATATTTTTAGTTTCCAATCAAATCTCCAATTGAAGCAGGTCTTGATTTATGAATCGAATTGAACCAGGAATTGATTCAGCAATATGAGGAATTTCAAATTTAAGTACCCTGAGAAAATTAAAATTTAAGTACCAAAAAAAACTCTATTTAAAAATTTATTTTTTCCTGGATATATTTTTAAGGGGTTCTTTGGGAGCAGTATTACAATTACTTAGATTCAATCTTAATTTAAAACAATATAAACAGACTCAATTTGTTGAAAAAAAATCTGGAAATGGAAAAAAAAACGATTTAAAGATAAATAAAAAGCAAAATCTTTAATTCACTCCGTAAAGTTGAAACCAAATCTAAAATTTAAATAATTTCATTTTTCCAAGAAATGCTTTTTGCTGTTTATTAAAGTGCATAATTTTTTAGAAGAACTATAGAATAGTATTAACGATGTCTCCAAAAAGTCTACAGAATTGTATAAAATGAGATCAAAATTGTACCTAATGAAGCAAATCCTCTAAATTGACCTCAGTAGCAAGTTAATGAAAGTTAGTTGATTATAAAAGGAATTAAAAAGCAAGAAAATTAAAAGCAGTTTTTGAGAAATTATCAATTGCTGAATATATATATATATATATATATATATATATATATATATATATATATATATATATATATATATATATATATATATATATATATATCAAATAAATCAATTACCTTTCTTGAGAAATCGTTGAAAGGGTCAATTCTTTCTTCATATGAATTACTATATCTCTGTGTAGAATCATCATCAATCTTCATAGATAGATTATTCTAATAAAATTGTACATTGTAAAAACTAATAAAAATATATATTTATTTATCTATCTACACACACACACACACACACACACACACACACACACACACACACACACACACACACACACACACACACACACACACACAGATATATATATATATATATATATATATATATATATATATATATATATATATATATATATATATATATATATATATATATATATATATATATATATATATATATATATATATATATATATAATATTCTAATAAAACTAAAAAAAAAAAAGGTCTAAAAGTTAAAAAAAAAAAGGTCTTCAATTTTAATTCGAACGGTGCCTAAATACAATCTACGCTGTCGAAAACGGTCTAGAATAGCCCCTGATATATATGTGCATATAAATACATATATATATATATATATATGGACACACATATGTATCTATATATAAATATGTATACATTCATTTATGAATATATATATATATATATATATATATATATATATATATATATATATATATATATATACAAACGTGGTGGGACAGGATCACTCGGGTATACGCTTTCATATTCATCATTAGAAAAATGTTGCTTTTTGTTAAGTTTTGAAAGGAAAGACTTTATTTTAGCTGCATAACTTAGAGTGGGATCAATACTAATAATTTTTGTTGGACCAATCTGTTTTCAATCTAATTTTTTCAATTGCTTTATCATGTTTTATTCTTACAAATCCTATTACTTTATCAAATAAATAAATATCAATTTTCTTGTCTTGAATAATTTCTTTAAATGCTTTTCTTTGATCTCTCGTTAGATTATGATTAATTTTTTTGCCAATTTTAAGTTCTCTCAGTACATTTTTCCTTAGGTTTTAAACTTTTTCAATTTCATTATTATATTTGAGTTTTAAGGCAGACGATTCAGTTGTGAATCTGCCTTAAAACTCAAATATAATAAAGAAATTAAAAAAGCGCAAAACCTAAGGAAAAATGTACTGAGAGAACTTAAAATGGGCAAAAAAATTAATAAAACTTAACAAAAAGCAACATTTTTCTAATGATGAATATGAAAGCGTATACCCGAGTGATCCTGTCCCACCATGTTTGTATGGGCTAATTAAAGCTCATAAACAAGAAAAATCTTATCCGATGAGAGTAGTTGTATCAAATATTGGCACACCTTATTATGGAATTTCGAATTACTTGGTTAAAAGAATACAACTGGTCTTAAATGAAAATCCTATTAGGTTAAAAAATTCAAAAGACTTTATTAACAAGACTAAGTCGTGGTTGATTGACAAAGATGAAATACAGGTATCCTTTGATATTGTGAACTTATACCCATCAATACCATTAAAAGAAGCAACTTTAATACTTTTGGATCAATTAAATAAAAGCGTTTCTTACAAAAACTCAACTAAACTTACTTTAACTGAAACAAAACAACTAATTGAACTTTGTTTCGTTGTTATTTCTTGTGGAATGGTGAGATTCATGAGTTGGAGAATTCAGGCCCAATTGGATTGTCTTTTATGGTTGTTTTGGCTGAATCTTTTTTACAATACCATGAGGAAAAAGCAATAAAAATGGCAACGACAATGATTCCTTTAATTGATATTAAATCTTTTCATAGATATGTAGACAATAGCCATGCAAGGTTTTCTAACTTAAATCAAGCGGAACAGTTCCAAACAATTATTAACAGACAACATCCTTCTTTAAAATATACTATTGAGGTTGAAAACAAAAATAAGATACTTAACTTTTTGGATATAACTATTATTAATAATACCCAAGGAAAATATGAGTTCAAGGTTTACAGGAAAGATGCAATAACCAATATCCAAATCAAACCTCATTCTAATCATGATCCTAAAATTTTAAAAGCATTATTCAAAGGATACATACACAGAGCATACTCAATATGCAGTGAAAACCATTTAAAAGATGAGATAAATTTTTTAATTCAAGTGTTTACTCAAAATGGATACAATGAAAAAATGCTTAAAGATATTTCTAATCAGGTTCGAAAAAAACTTCAAATACGAGCAAGGGTTCAACAACACCAAAAACTTTTGACTGAAGGCAAGTTAAATCAGTCTGCATTAGCTTTGCATAAAGTAAATTGTAAGAAAAGTCCGTGAGGCCTTAGAGATACAAAAACATCAATGTTCTCCAACGTACGGTGGTATGAATTCGGACAATGGACAATATTTAAAAACAAATTTTTGGACTTCATTTTTTTCATACTTAGGTACAAAAAGCCATTATAAACATGACGTCAAAATTTAAAAATTTGTTGTTGTTATTTAACGGTCACAATTTTTGTAATTATATTATATTATATGCTGATGATGCCGGTGCCTATAATCCGGCGAAAATTTCAAATAAATTATTTAGTATTGAGAGAATTCGTATTATCTGATGTTTTAAATTAGTTTATATATATATATATATATATATATATATATATATATATATATATATATATATATATATATATATATATATATATATATATATATATATATATATATATATATATATATATATATATATATATATATATATATATATATATGTATATATATATATATATATATATATATATATATATATATATATATATATATATATATATACATAAATGAATGTATACATATTTATATATAGATACATATGTGTGTGTATATATATATATATATGTATATATATATATATCTATTTATATGCACATATATATCAGGGGCTATTCTAGACCGTTTTCGACAGCGCTGACCGTATTTAGGCACCGTCCGAATTAAAATTGAAGACCTTTTTTTTTTAAACACTTTTTTTAGTTTTTATGGCAAATATCTCGAAAATAGATAAATAAATAAATGTGTAAATAGATAAACAAATATATATTTTTATTAGTTTTTACAATGCACAGTTTTATTAGAATATTATATATATATATATATATATATATATATATATATATATATATATATATATATATATATATATATATATATATATATATATATATATATATATATATATATATATATATATATATATTGAGCACTCTATTTGTAGAATACAGTAAAATAAATTATATATATATATATATATATATATATATATATATATATATATATATATATATATATATATATATATATATATATATATATATATATATATATATATATATATATATAATTCGCAAGGCCTGATATATATATATATATATATATTATATATATATATATATATATATATATATATATATCAGGCTTTGCGATAAAGCGTCGGGCGATGTGAATTTTACGTCGTCCAAGAGCAATTTTGCGTGTAGCTAGGGCCATTTGCGTCGAGCAAAAAAATTTTTGTTTGAGTATATTTAAAGATATTTTTGAGCGGAATTTTAATGAAGTAATTTACGATTATTTTAACATTTAATAAAGTATTTTAAAAACTGCACGCAGTTGAAATAAAAGTTTGAATTAAAAAAAAATAAATATGCTCATTATTTACAAGAAGAAAAAATTTCCAGTTTATTACTCGCTGACTTTTTAAAAAGAAAAAATAATTATTTGAAAAACTTTAAACTACATATTTAAGAAAAAAAAAATCAATATTAGCATATTTTATAATCTTTTTTAAATTTAAGTTATGTTTTTTATTCGTTTAGTATAGACAAAATGTGACAAACGTCGAGAAAATAAACAAATGTTTTTACATTTTAAAAAACGAAACATTCCAAAACATTTTTAAATAATAACATTTCTACATAAACGATTTAAAGTAGTTTTGCGGTAATTAAGTAAATTGGTGCAGTTAATGTCGATAAATATGAAAAGCAAATAAAAAGAATTTAATGACGTCAAAAATCACGTCGTGCTTATGCGTCGCGCAGTTCTTATTCATCGCAAGGCCTGATATATATATATATATTAAGCACTCTATTTGTAGAATACAGTAACATAAATTATATATATATATATATATATATATATATATATATATATATATATATATATATATATATATATATATATATATATATATATATATATATATATATATATATATATATATATATATATAGAGAGAGAGAGAGAGAGAGAGAGAGAGAGAGAGAGAGAGAGAGAGAGAGAGAGAGAGCACTCTATTGTAGAATACAGTAACATAAATTATGTACTTAATTTGCTTGTTTAGATGAGCACTCTGGCGTCACACTGAAATAGCCTGCTGCTGGGGGCTTCAGTACATAAATCGACTGACAAATAGTCTGACTCGCAGGCAGTGGTGCAACTAAAAATTTGGGTCCCCTCTGCCAATAAAGTAAAGGAGCCCTCCTTAATTTTTTTCTCCAAAAATGCCCATAGGGATACGTGAAAAATTATAAATTCATAAAATATATTTGATATATTTTATGAATTTATAACAGAAATTAGTAATACTCATATTATTATTAGCAGTCATATTATTCATATGAGTAAAATTTTTGAATCTCCGCAGGGCCCTCTAAGTTCTGGGGCCCCCTACCTTGCTGGGTTATGCTCCCCCCTAGTTACGCCACTGCTTGCATGGGAGTGTTGCTAATTCGACTGAGAGTTTGGAATGGGGCAGCAGTCTTTTCTTTCATTATTCTTCGTTGTTTTCTAAAAACACGGTATGCTATAAAGATAAGCAAAAGTAGTGAGCAAATGTTCATCTAAAAACGCTATAGAAGATTTTCTTATGTTCTATTTCTTTTTCATTTGCTGATTATTTTTTAACTTAAATTAAATTATGCTTACTGTTATGTTAATGTGCAGTTGCAATTGCTTTGTTAACAGTTGGTTACTCAAACGTGAATGTGAATAAAATTGAATAAAAATTTGAACAAAATTGAAAAAGTAAATTGAAATTCTATAAAATTACTTTTGGAAAAACACCTTTTAAACAAGAAGTCTTAAAATTAGGACAATTAGGATAGTAAAAAATTAGTAAACAATGGGTTTGTATGGACAT